TCAGGAAATAGAGATGCATTTCTCTCACACATACCATGTTTCAATTCTACTAGTATATCACTACTGAGTTTCTCCCAACTCCTCTTGTGAATCAGGCGTTTCATGGGAATAGGAGACTTGCTGGTTAGTTCTGAGGGATGGCTGCAAGTTTTAGAAACACCTTTCTTGTTTTTGTTTACCCTGACTGTGCTCTCATCAGGAGGACAAAACTATTGAATTTGATGCCATGGGAGATTATTATCTGGGATGCACCAACTGGCTAAACACTGACAAATAAATTTTAGATCTGTGAAAATGAAAAAAAAAAAAAAGAGATTAGCTTAATCAGTTTAGCGTTCTGGAGAGGGTGGTATACAGTCAAGAGAAAAAGTACATTATGATAAAACAAAATACAGGAAATGGGTCAGCTGAGTTCCACCTAACATTCTGTATTTGCCCAGAAATGTTCATGATTTGCCAACATACATAAAGTGGTTGTGTCCCACTCGGAGTGAGTAGAAATTAACTTGATAATTTGCTAATTTTTTTTTAATCTTTTTACAGTTACCACTCTTTGAAACAAATTCCTCATTCTATAAAATGCCCAATCCCCTGCCTCTCCCTTTCAAATGTTCCAAAACCACTTTGGACTAATTTTGAGCTCTGTTTGCAATTGTATGCACGTGTCTGAAGTGTGAGTGGCATCACATATTCTCTATGTCATGTGTTACAAATCCAGTTGACAAAGGACTTACACCCTATTATTTCCTTCATTGCAAATAGAAGGAGATCACTCAAAACCTTTTCCTTGCTTTGAATTCCTTCAGTTGTAGTCTCATAGTTTTTATAAGGGTCAATTCCTTTATAGGAATTTTAAGAAGTAATCCATGCCTTCAAATTTTATCACGTAATATCATTTTTCATAAATGTATGTTTAAAGTACATCCTTAGTTTACATAATGATTTTTATTCTTGGAAATTATTTCTGCTATCAGAGCTTCAGCATTGATTTTATCTTCAGCATAATTACACTTCTGAAGTTAAGTGAGCTCTGAGAAAGTTCTGAAAGATGTTTCAAGACAATTTTTTTTCACCTTTATAGTACCTGAAGTGAGGTTTTGTGCTTTGAGAGCTAGTTGAAATTCCACTGTTTGGCACATCACTTGGGGATCTGGGCTTGACAACCTGGAAGTGATGGAGTATACTCATTTTTGGCTGCTGCAAGGAATTTACATTCTGACTGCTCGGGCAAAAATAACAGCAACAACAACAAAAAGCAAGAGTCACCAAGGTAATGGGTATGTGATCACTACTGTGGCTGCCTTGGAGTGAATGTGAAAGTTTGGTCAAAGGCAGACTGCATCAGATACTGTCTGACTCTAAGAAAGTGTCAGAGAAAGGATGGCCAGAAGAGCAGAAAGCTGCATCGTGGTCCTTGCCCTTCATGCCAGGGGTTTTCAGCAAAATTGAAATTTGTTTATAGAATGTAGTGCCCATTACTGTACAGTAGGTAAAGGGAATCCCCTTCTGCCAGTGCCCGTGTGCCCAACTCATTCTTGAACATCTCTAGTAAGAAGTGCCGCAATTAGATGTGGCCTTTATTAGATATTCAGGGATCACCTCTGTGTGTAGGTAATTCAGCCTCTGTGTCGTGTTCCCCATGGGGGGAGCAATGTGTTGGAGGCTGAACTACTTTACCCCATCTGGCCACACTCTAAAGGTCTTCTGAAGATGGGAGAGTGTTTTATTACTTGAAAGGAAATAGAAGTAAATGCTTCCTCCTTACAGGTGTGGGCTTTCATTTACATAAACAAGGAACACTCAGGAGAGAATTTGATGATATTTAGGTTTCCTTCCAATATAAGCCTTTCTATGATTCTATTAACTTGAGAAGGGGAGAGCATACAAAGATATGCAGTCTTCTGTTTGATGTGTACAGGACCAAACTGTAAGATCCTTAATTTTATGAGCAGAAGCATTGTATATTCTGACCCTGAGAAGAATTCTTATATGAAACAAATTAGCTGAGGGACTTTAACCTTCTCTTGATATTTTGACATTACTGAAGCATGAAGTAGCGTGCAAGTGCTGAATGATGCTTGCTGTTCTAGTGTAGATGTTTTGGCCATTGATTGTTGGTGCATTTACCACTGTAAACCACTCCCACCATCTTGGCCATGGGGACAAGAGATACATGGAGTAATCAATTAAGTGGAGGTCAAAGAGGTCAAAAATAAGCCCCTTTTAAGAGGTGTCATCAAGCATTAGTCTGAAAGGAGAAATTTGCAAAGAAGGACACAGCTGCTGAATTTCTTTCGGCATCTGGATGCTTAGAAGTGTTTGAAACAGAAAGATACAAATCTCAGTACCCTGAGAGGACATGAGTGTAAAGGAGCACGGAGCAGTGGGTGTGCAGTGCTCATGCCGCAGGAGGGGTGTGGGATGGTGGGGAAGTGCACTGACATTGCTGAATGCCAGCAGGATGGAAGATGCTGGCACTCGGGGAGGAGGAACTTGAGAATGATTTTGGAGCTCTATTTGTAAACAGCTGTCTTGTCTTCCGCAGCACGCTGTAGAAAAATAGAGGTTTTGAACCATTAGGAAAGCAAAGGAAGTGCAATAGCCCAGATTTTGATCATAATTACACCCAGGTGGTGCTGAAGTGACTACATCCGTGTCATTGAAGTCACACCAGGGCAAAACTTGGGAGAGAAATGAATCGAGCTCTTTGTTTGCCTGCATTTGTGTACCAAAAGAGCACTCTAACAGCTCTTAGTAAATAATAAATTAATAATGATATGCTGATCTCCCTTGTGACTGGAAGAAGTACAGAAAAATTAGCGTTGGGGTAAGAATTTGCTTGCAAGATCCTTTCAGTGCGTCACTTCTTCATTTTTATTGGATGCCTGATGTTTGCTGGGCTGATTTTAATTTCTTCTTCCAGTTTTCTTCAAGCATCAGAAAGACAAAATTAACTGGGTTTCTGAAAGGTGAACAATACGAAGCCGACAGCTTAGAGTCAGGAGTGTTTTATGATGCACTGTAAAGCACCTTTGACCAGCACATCTTTGCTTGGCATCATAAAATACCTTTGGGTTTCTGGCAAGAAAAATAAATAGTAAAGAAAACAACAAATAAAAAACAAAACAAAACAAAAAAAAAACCACTGAAAACAAGTGCTGCTGCTGCATGTCTGTTGTTAAGCAAATAACACTCGAGTGGTTGGTTTCGTTTGTATTTCCCCATTTGTGCCTCAGAACGCACCACATTGCAATGTTACATCACATGTAATGACGGGGACCATGTCCTGAGATCCCTCTCTGACCACGCAGCCTCCTCCTTGCTCTTCCCTTCCCAGCCTGAGGACTGCATGTGATTATGCTGAGGGCATAATTCAATTAATTATTGACAGCACACGCAATCACCACTTAGATCTCTCACAGATAAATCTGTGGTGCTCTCCGTCTTCTCTTTGTCACTTAAGGGATGGAAAAGCAATAAAAATAATAGAGATAGGGCATTTATTGGTGCTCTCTAACAGCTGCAGATGCTCCGGACCCCCCAGGCTTTTGGGATGCAAAGCATCTTGTTCTAATTTGTGCCCAACAAGTGCCCTCCGGAAGCTCAGCAGAGCTGATTCATTTTATGATTCATTTTCAACAGAGTGTATAATAGGAGCAGATAACTTTGATTTGAGCAAAGAAAAAGTGTGATGTCTTTCAAGGATTCCGGGCTTTCACTGCACGTTTTTCTCCTGATGCTGTGATTAGAGAGAAAGTGATAAGTAAGAGCTCTGTGTTGGGTGTAAAGGAGGAATGGAGCTTCGGAGCTGACTTGGTGAGAAACGAAACAAACCAATAACAGCCCTGACCTCCGGTACCCTTTGACCAAAATCCTCGGGACGGGCGGGGACGCGCCGGGGGGTGCCCGCAGTCCCAGTGACAGCTGAATTGTGCCAAGAGAGGGCGAGGAGGTGTGAAAGCACAGAAGAGCGTTACTGTACAGAGGAGAACCGAGCCGGGGCGCGGACCCATCCTCGAGGCCGGGCTGTGGGACAGCTCCCGCTCTATGGGGCAGGGGAGCGGCAGCGGTACCGGCACCTGCCCGGAGCTCGCCGCGCCCCGCCTGGCTCCTCCTGTGCCAGTGAACGGTAGAGGAGCGTCTCCGCCCTTACGTAAGGGGCAGCCCAATTTGCCGGGCGAGGCAGACGCTGGGGAAGCGCCGCTTTGTCCGGTGGGGGAGTGGGGCGATGCGGGCACCAGGTGAGACGCGGCCGGCACCTTTCCTTCTCCCTGGGCGGCAGCTGAGGTCCCCCCTCGCCGGCTCCGGGGTTTGTGGAGAACGTCGCGCTCCGCGTTCAGCGCCCACCTCGGGCCGCCGCCCCCGGGGCACCCGCGTTGCCCAGAACCGTGCGGGACCCGCTCTGCCTTCACCCGCGGGCGGGAGCCGCCGTCGAGCCCCGCCGGTGGCTGCAAAGACCGGGACCCCTGTCCCGTCCCGTCCCGCCGCGGAGCCGCCCAAGGGTCCGGTGAGCGGCTGCCGCTGGGGTGTTCAGGGAGGCTTTCAGCTCGGCGGGCTGCGGAGCGGTGTTCCCCGCCCTCTGAGGCGGTGCGCAGCGAGGCTGCCCGACATGCAGGTGCTCTCCGCACCCCGCCCCCGGCACCTCGGAGCCGCCCCCATGGCTCGACGGGGCGTCCCCGGCCGGGACCGCGTCCCCCCGTCCCGCGGCAGCTCCGGAGGTGGGGGTTGCCCCCGGGACGCCCGTTGCCCCCCTCTCCTCCCGGTCCCGCCGCAGCACCCGGCAGCGCATCCTCCGGCGGCAGCCGCTCCTCGGCCGCGGAGAGGAAGTGAGAAGGTGGACGAGAGTGAAAGGGGATGCGGCGCTCTGAAGCGAGATAGAGAGAGGTAGGCAAGGTTAGATGTGTATTTACTCAACCTTTATTATTTAAAAAAATTCATTAAAAAAAAAAGGTGAACGAACGTCTTACAAAACCCCCCGCGGCCCCCCCCCCCCCCCCATAAATAGGACATTCCGTTCAGCTCTGGCTATTGGCAGTTCTAGTACTTGACAACATCAGACACGATTTCCTGGCATTTCAAACCCATTTCAAAATCGGTCATCACAAAGAAATACTAGAAATCCCAGTTAGCACTTGCTGGGCAGCACGGAGCACTTGTACACAACTTTTCAGACACACACCCGCGCACACACGCAGCTGGGAACAGATCCCGAAGGAAGATAGCCGCCTTAAAAAATAGTAAACGCTTCTCAAAAGAAAAAAAAAAGAAGAAAAAAAAAAGAGTTATTTACAAAACGCACATGGAGATACAGTATTGACAGAGCGTGGCTGGCAAATCAACATGATTTGAATAGAGAAAGGACTATGGCACATCTCGCCCGCACGCAGCCCCGGCGCGGAGCCCCCCCGCGTTCCTCCGCCCGTCCTCCCCTCTCCCCCCGCGCCTTCTGCCGGGTCCTTTTTACACTTGGATGACCACCGCGTCGGGGCTCTGCAGCCGAGTTTTGTACTGGTCTAGCCAGCTCCGCAGCTCCGAGATCTTGTAACCCTCCGGTCCTCGGCCTCCCTGGTACATCACCTTCTCCTCCTGGATGACGTAGAGCCGCTCGAAGTAGGCGCCGTAGGCAGCGCTGGAAGCGTTGTCCATGGTGTCCACGGCCAGGGGGCAATCGGGCGCCCCTTCCCGCATCAGCTGCGCTGCCCGCAGCCTGTCCTGGAGGCACTGGTGCTTGGGGATGCTGTAGGCAGCGTCCGAGCTGACCCAGCCGTCGGAGGGGTGCGCTTCTTCGATGTACACCAGCAGAAAGTCGGCAATGTCCACGAAGTGCGCGGCCAGGCGCCGGAAGGACCTCAGGCGGGCCATGAACGGGGGTCAGGTGCAGCTGCCGAAGTTGAGGATGAGGGGCCTCTTGCCGCGGGCGAAGTCGAGGATGCGGAGCCTCTTCTGCCCGTCCAGCTGGATCACCTCGGGGTTGGGGGCCGGGGAGCCCACGTGCGCCGACTTGAAGAAGTCCAGCTTCTGCCCGTGCCACACAGCCTTCAGCGACTCCAGCGTGAACATGCGGTTGGAGTCGGACACGCAGACCGGAGGGTCGTCGGGGGGCGGCCCCTCGCCGGCTCCGGCCGCCTCCTCCGCCGTGGGCATCGTCAGCATCTTCTTGCGAATGCACAGAAAATCTAGGAGCCAGAGCATCACGGCTGTGAGCAGGAAGCGGGGGAAGAGGAGGATGCAGGCGGCCGCCTGGGTGAGCAGCTGCAAGGTGTGAGCGCCCAGCGCGTGGAGCATCGCCGCGGCGGCTGCTGCGGGCAGGGCTGCCCGCCCCCCCGGACCCTGCGTGCCGGGGTCTGCGCGGCACGGCTGAGATCCCGCTTCTCTTTAAGCCCATTTTATAGTCGGGGATTTAAATGAAAAGTGACTCCACCTCCGGCCAGAACCCGCCCCTCTGGAACTTGAGCCTGGGGATTACCTACCCCTCCACTCTAATGACCTAAAAATACACAGACAAAAGGGGAGAGAGCCCCGCCGGGAGCTGCGGGGGACGTGCGACGAGGCAGGGAGCGGCCGCTGTCGGACACCGGCGGAGCGTCCCACGCGGGGCATCGCTGGGTCCAGGCACGGACAGCGGCGCACGCGCTCCGCGGGCGGCCCTGCCGAGGACGGTGCAACAGGAGCGGCGCGGACCCCCGAGCGGAGCGGGGCTGGGGCCGCGCAGGCAGCGCGCCGTCCCGGGAGCGCCCGCAGGTGACGGGGACGGTGCCGCCAGCGCCGCGCCGCGCCTCCTTCCCCCGCCCCTGGCTCCGGCCGCCCCCCGCCCCGGCCGAACCTTGGCACGGGGCACGGACCCCCGCCCCGGCCCCTCGGGGTCACGGGAGGCTCGAACCCGCGGACGCGCCGCATCCTCCCGAGGCGGCGGCGGCAGAGCGGGACGGGGCGGGATCTGTCCCCGGCGGGAAGCACGGACTCCGGAGGTCGGGGCGCGGCGGTGCCAGGTGGGCGCGGGCGGGCGGACGGTGCCCCGCGGCGGAGGAGGGGCGGCGGCGGCGAGCTCCTTCCGCTAGGGGGCGCTGTTGGCCGAGAAGCCGCTGCGGCGGCTGAGGGGAGCGGCGGGGCCGCGCGGACCCCGGCCCGGCGGTGCTCGTTTCCCGCGGGGCCGCCCGGGTGTGAAGGCGGGGCCGAGCAGCTCTGCGGGGCGGTCTTCCTGCGCGCTCGACGCCGGTCCCTGGAGCACGCCCGTCTCGTCCCGTCCCATCCTGTCCCGGAGCTGTGCGCTTCGCGCCTGCCCGGCTGTCCCCCCGGGGGTCCCGGATCTAGACGCAATTCCAGACTAAGCTTGCCGGTCCTGCGGCTCTGCTGACACAGGGCTCCCAGTCCTCAGCGTGCACATCACTTCTTCACCACCTTCCTCAGAACTGTCTGTGAGAGCTGTCCGAAGCGCTGAACACTGCCCTCTGTTACGTGTGTGTGCTCCTGCATTTGTAGTATCATAGAATCATTAAGGTTGGAAAACACCACTAAGATCATCAAGTCCAACCCCAGCTCATCACCTGTTCACGCACTGCCCTGACACCACGCTTGCATTTGCTTCCTCCCAGAGCCAGGGGTGCTTGGCTTGAGGATGCCGTGCAGTGTCCATGCTGAGAACCCCATTTCTGTATGGTGTCAGTGCTGGGTTTCCACCTGCAGCCCCCCAATGACCTGCGGGGCCACAGCTCCCATGTGGGGCTGTGCATCCCTGCACACCTCCCAGCTGACATCTGCATGACTGCTATACAACCCCTGGGTTGCCTTATGGGAGGCAAGTGGCTCGGTTCATTTTGATGTAACTTACTATGAGCACTCTGAGTAAAGGGCAAAATTAAAGTCTCATTTTAATTTTTCCATATCTGGTTCAAAGTAGTGTCTTCTAAAGCAATATAAGCAGGCACCCAGATGGGAGGTCCCAGAGGGATGTCCTCTGTTGGTGTCAATGATGAGTGAGGTGACTCCAGTTCTGTACCATCTGGATGGAAACATGTGCCCCGGTCCTATAAAGGCATCTTCATACCCAGCCTGACTAATGGCTCTGTTGGCATTCTGTGGCGCTCAGACCAGGGAAAATTACTGAGCAGATATTTACTATATTGTCAAATTTATTTTGAACTCTTCATGTGGGCCTCTCACCACCTCTCTGCTCAGTTATGCAATCTTGAAAACCACAAATTAAAGCCTCTAAACAGACGCAATAACAAATTGTGGTAGCTCTGAAGAAACCCCCAGGAAAAAATATTGATCTCTCAAAGCGACCTCTTCAAACTCTGCTGACAGACAAAAGCCTGAGTAAACACATGGGTTTACAACCCCGAGTATCAACAAACTTTGCTCTGCTGGATCAGAGAGGGCTGTTCCGAGGCAGAAAAAAGCATTCAGTCTTATGGAGAGTGCTTATAACTGTGCAGGGACTGTGGAAATGTCTTTTTCTCTGTTCCCTGGGAACAACTTCGGTTTATTTTTATAGCTTGAAGAAAACTTCTGGATTGGGGTTTCATATTTGACTGTGGATGGAGCAGGGTATGGAGGCATTTTGCTACAGTGGCCCCACTGCTGCAGCTTCCTGCCGTAGGAAAATGCAGATATACTGTGGGGCTGCTGCTGCCGCACGACAAAACAGGGGCTCTGTGTGGCCCTACAACCCACGCGCTGATGCTTTCAGGCCAAGCACGGCGTTTGTTTGCAGTTATACAAGTGGGAAAAGGGTGAAATTCCGCCTTGGGTTTCAGGGAAGTTTGGAGATGTGCCAACGCCATTCGCAGGTTGGTGTGGTGCTGGATGTGTTTTGGGATCGCCCTCCCTGAACACCGCAATGGCCGTGCCCCCCAGTGGGGTGCAGGGCTGGATTGGGCGCCTGAAGGCACTGCGTCTTTCTAGGAATCTGTACTGCTGCTGCTGCTAAGGTGGGAACCCCATCCTCCTGCTCACTGAAGGGATGATGGCATATATTCTAAGAGACATGATTTACAGTGGCACATTTGTCTGTGGGTTGTTTTCACTCTTCTGCACACAGTCTGTGGCTCAGCGGTCGCTGACCTTGCCCCTGCAGACATCCGTGTGTGTCCGCACGGAGCTCACAGCATTTTTCTTCAAGAACTCAGTGGCTGTAGTTTTTCTTGATTTGATAAGTGTAATTAGTAACACTTCAACATTTCTTTCCATAAACACGAGCTACCAAGTAAATTCAGTGACATAAAAACAAAACCTCAAAAAAAAAAAAAAAAAAAAAAAAAGCCGAAATTAAAAACATTGGGTGTGCTTTGATGTAGAGGATGTGTCGAAATGGTATATTTCTATGTTTATTTTTCCATTTTACAATTTCCCGGGCAAAGGCAAGCAATGCTTTCTGACAGGAAACAAAATCTACTTTGGAAGGGTTCCACCCCTCATGTCAGCCGAGCTCCATGTCGGCCAGGTGTTTGAGCTGGACTTCATCAGGGGAGATGAAAAACCTCCAGCGGGGCTTGGACTGAGCCCTGACGTGTGAATGGAACCATCCCACCTGGTGTGAGTGGCCACCCATTGCCAGCGGCTGCAGCGGGGCATTGCTCACCTGTCGGGTCTCTGCAAGAAATAAATGCCACGTGGCTGAAATCTGGGGTGGGTGAATTCCGTTGGTGGTTGTTTGCTCTCAGTGACACTTCTGCGGAAAGGTTACCATGGGCTGGAGGCTGTGCATGGCTCTGGCACTGATTTCCCTTGTAGCCTTTCGTCGCTTTCAAATGACAGCTGTTTTTCTTTTCCTCCCTCCTGTTTTCTGTTTATAAATATACACAACTCAAAAAACCCAGGCAGAGTCAAGGAGCGAGCTGGTGCTTTGGGAATTGAATGAAATAGGAGTGCGCTGCACTGCAGCCAGGTCACAGCAGAGCCATGGCCTTGGTTCTCCTACCCCACCCCAGCATTTATGACAAGTATGACATACGTGACAAAAAAGTTCTCTGCATTTAAGCTTTTTACTTCTCCCCCCCTTCTCCCCCTCACTTTTTACCAGTTCTGGGTTGGAGAGGAATTGGTCATTTTGGAGGGAAGAATGATTCCAGAACAACAGTGCAGCACTCAGCTCTAACCCAAAGTGAAAACATCTCCTGAGCCTGTGAGTCAGCATGACCCAGTGACAGTCCTCTGATGTGTTCATAGAATCAGAGTTTTGTCTCAGTTGGAAGGGACTTTTAAAGGCCACCTGGTCCAACCTCCTGTACTGAGCAGGAACACCCTCAGATCCATCAGGTGCTCAGAGTCCCATCCAGCCTGACCTTGAATGTCTCCAGGGATGGGGCATCCACCACCTTTCTGGGCATCCTGTGCCAGTACCTCATTGTCCTTATTGTAAAAAAGCTTTTTCCTTACATCCAGACTAAATCTCCCCTCTTTTAGTTTGAAACGATTTCCCCTTGTGCTATCAAAGCAGACTCCGCTAAAGAGTCTGTCCCCTTCCTTCCTATAGCCCCTCTTAATAGCAGGTTCTTGCACACTGCTGCCTGCAAGTGCCCAGTTGTGCCAGCAGCCTGGCAGCTGTGATTATAAACCATATTGTCTCTGGAGAGAGGACATTCTGCTAGATGTCTTTTTTTTTTTTTAATTATTATTATTTTTTATTTTAAATGTGGGTAGACGTGGCACTGAGGCACATGGTTAGTGGGCATGATGGTGATGAGTTGACAGTTGAACTAGATCTTAATGGTCTTTTCCAATCTTAGTGCACAATGGTTTTATCATTCTAAACTCAGATGATTTTGGTGACTGTGTTTATTTTAGGATCCCTGAAATAGTGGCAATTACACCACTTACAGTGCAACTTGATGAATACCAAAAAGGTACAATTTTCCACCCCATTGCTCTTTCACATCTGCTTGCAGTGTGTGCCGCATGATCCTGCAGTGACCCGTGGGGACCTGGCCCAGGCATCTAAAGGAGTAGAAAATCTTAGCTGTGTTAAAATGAGTAATTTCCTGCAGGATCAGCTCCCCGCTCTTGACAAAACCAAATGATCACAGGTATGATGCAGAAAAACGACAAGACAAAGGGCCATGCTGTGCAGCCTCAGGGAGGGAAACTGGGGCCATCCCATCGGATTGCTTAGCAGTGCTACCTGACTGGCCCTGAGTGGGATTGCATTGTGACAACATGTTCAGAGTGGAGATTTACAGGCTGTCCAGGGAAGCTGTGGGTGCCCCATCCCTAGAGGTGCTCAAAGCCAGGCATGATGGACCCTGGGCAGCCTGAGCTGATAGGGGGCAACCTGCCCATGTCAGGGAAGC